ATCGGAGAGAATTCATGAAAATTCAAAAGATTTCAAAAAAATCCGAAAGAGTACGAGAAAATTCAAGATAATGTGAAAGAGAACAAAGAACTTAGGACACCCAAGGAATCCAAAAAGTCGGAAGAACGCGAAAAACGCAAATAATCCAAAACATCGAAGCAATTTCCAAAAAATGTGAGAGAATTCGGGAAAAGTCGAGAAAATCCACTAGAATCCGATAATTTGAAAGAATCCGAAAGAAGACGTAAATAATCCGAAAGAATACAAGGGAATCCAGTCAAATTCCGGAAGGATCGGAAAGAATTCGGAAGAATTCTACAAATTCCGAGAGAATCCGAAAGAGTACGAAAATAGTTCGAGACGAATCCGAAAGAATATGAAACAACACGAGAGAATCTGTAAGAATCCAAGAGAATAAGAGGCTTAGAGAATCCGGGAGAATTCGGAAAAATCCGAAAGAATACGGAAAAAATCCGCCAAAATACGAGAGAATTAGAGATAATGCGCGTGAAAGCAAGGAACTGAGGGAATCCAAGAACCCAAAGAGTCGGAACAACGCAAAAAACGCAAAAAATCCAAACAACCGAAACAGTTTTCAAAGAATCTGGAAGAATCCGGTAATAATTCTAAAGAATTCGAAAGAATCCGAAAAAATCCGAAATCTGGAAGAATCCGAAAGAATATGACAAAATCCGACCAAATTCCGAAAGCACCGAAGAGAACCTGAAAAAATCTTAAATAAACCCGGAAAAACCGGAAAAATCTGAAAGAATTCGCAAAAATGCGACAGAATATGAGACAATCCGGGACAAACCAAGGAACTTAGAGACCCCTAAGGAACCCAAAGCACCAAAAATAATTCGAAAGAATCTGAGAAAATCGAGAGAATCCGAGTGAATCCAGGTAAATCCAAAAATAATTCCAAAGAACCCGGACGAATACAACAGAATATGACAGAATCGGAGGTAATGAGAGAGAAAGCAAGAAAACTAGGGAATCCAAGAAACCCAAAGAATCGGAAGGATGTAAAAAATCTGAAGAACCGAAGAAGTTTCGGAAGAATCTGAGAGAATTCGAAAAAATCCGAAAGAATTCGAGTGAATCCAAGAGAATCCAAAAATAACTGCAAATAATCCGAAATAATACGCAAAGAATAGGAAAGAAGTCACAAAGGATCTGAAAAAATCCCAAATCCCAGAGAATCAAAAAGAGTACGAAAAGAATCCGAAAGAATATGAGAGAACATTAGAGACCCTCGAAGAATACGAGAGAATCCGACAAAATTACGAGAGAATTCGGAAGCATCCGGAATAATCAGAAAGAATTCGAGAGAATAAGGAAAAATCCGAAAGGAATACGAAAAGATATCGGAGAATCCGATTAAATTTCGAGATGTTCGGAGAGAATCCAAAGGAATTCGAAAGAATACGAGAGAATCTGACCAAATTCCGAGAGAACTTGAGAGAATTCGAAAAAATCCGAAAGAATTCGAGTGAATCCAGGAGAATCCATAAATATCTGTAAAGAATCCGAAATAATACTCAAAGAGTACGAAAGAATTCACAAGGGATCTGAAAAAAATCCCAAATCCTAGAGAATCAGAAAGAGTACGAAAAGAATTCTAAAGAATATGAGACAACGTTAGAGACCCTGGAAGAATACGAGAGAATCCGACAAAATTCCGAAAGGATCGAAGCGAATCTGGAAGAATCCAGAAGAAACATAGAGAATCCGAGAGAATTCGGAAGCATTCGGAATAATCTGAAAGAATTCGAGAGAATAAGGACAAAATCCGAAAGGAATACGAAAGAATATCGGAGAATCCGACTAAATTTCGGGAGATTCGGAGAGAAACCAAAGGAATTCGAAAGAATACGGCCAAATTCCGAGAGGATCGGAAAGAATTCACGGAAATTCAAAAAATTCCAAAAAAGTCCGAAAGAATACGAGAAAATTCAAGATAATGCTAGAGAAAACAAAAAACCTAGGAAACCCAAGGAAACCAAAAAGTCTCAAGAGAATTCGTGAGAATCCGAGAAAATCCACTAGAATCTGATAATAATTCGACCAATTCTGAAGTAACACGAAAAGAATACAACAGAATTCGAGAAATCCAAAGAACCGAAGAAGTTTCTGAAAAATCTAAGAGAATTCGAGAAAAGTCTATATAATACGAAGGAACCCGAAAAAATCCCAAAGAATCCTAAAACTAATTAACACATTTTAGCATCCTAGAAAATTTCAAAGAAACCGAAAAAATCCGAAAGAATTCCAGCGAATCCAAGAGAATCCAAAAATAACTCTAAAGAATCCGAAATAATACGCGAAGAATACGAGCGAATCCTAGAGAATCCAGTCAAATCCCTGGAGGATCGGAAAGAATTCAGAAGAATCCTAGAATCCTAAAGAATTCACAAAGGATCCAAAAAATTACCCGATCTGAGAGAATCAGAAGAATATGAGACAACATTAGAGAATCTGGAAGAATACAGGAGAATCCGACTAAATTTCGAAAAAATCGAAGAGAATCTGGAAGAATCCGGAAGAAACTTAGAGAAACCGGGAGAATTTGAAAGCATCCGGAATAATCTGAAAGAACTAGAGAGAATAAGGAAAAATCCGAAAGGAATACGAAAAAATATCGGAGAATCCGACTAAATTTCGAGAGGTTCGGAAAGAATCCAAAGGAATTCGAAAGAATACGAGAGAATCTGACCAAATTCCGAGAGAACCTGAGAGAATTCGAAAAAATCCGAAAGAATTCGAGTGAATCCAAGAGAATCCAAAAATAACTGCAAAGAATCCGAAATAATACGCAAAGAATACGAAAGAATTCACAAAGGATCTGAAAAAGTCCCAGATCCCAGAGAATCAGAAAGAGTACGAAAAGAATCCGAAAGAATATGAGAAAACATTAGAGACCCTGGAAGAATACGAGAGAATCCGACCAAATTCCGAAAGGATCAAAGCGAATCTGGAAGAATCCAGAAGAAACTCAGAGAATGCGAGAGAATTCGGAAGCATCCGAAATAATCTGAAAGAATTCGAGAGAATAAGGAAAAAATCCTACAGGAATACGAAAGAATATCGGAGAATCCGACTAAATTTCGGGTTCGGAGAGAATCCCAAGGAATTCGAAAGAATACGGCTAAATTCCAAGAGGATCGGAAAGAATTCACGCAAAATTTCCAAAAAAATCCGAAAGAATACGAGAAAATTCAAGATAATGCTAGAGAAAACAAAAAACCTAGGAAACCCAAGGAAACCAAAAAGTCTCAAGAGAATTCGTGAAATGTCGAGAAAAACCGAGAGAATCTGAGAAAATCCACTAGAGTCCGATAATAATTCGAAAGAAGACGTAAATAATCAAAAAAATACAACAAAATCCAGTCAAATTCCGGGAGGAATTCGGAAGAATTCTAGAAATTCCGACAGAATCCCAGGTCCGAGAGAATATGAAACAACACAAGAGAATTTGGAAGAATCGAAGAGAATACGAGAGAATCCCGCCAAATTCCGAGAATGTCGAAGAGAATCTAGAAGAATCGGATAGATACTTGAAGAATCCGGGAGAATTCGGAAGAATCCGGAATAATCTGAAAGAATACGAGACAATCCGGGATAAACCAAGGAACTTAGAAACACCTAAGGAGCCCAAAGAACCAAAAATAATTCGAAGAATCTGAGAAAATCGAGAAAATCCGTGTGAATCCGGAACAATCCAAGAAAATGCCAAAAAATCCGAAAACTACATAGCATATTTTAGCATCGTAGAGAATCCGAGTGAATCCAGGAAAATCCAAAAATAATTCCAAAGAATTCTTCGAAAGAATTCGCGAAAATACGAGAAAATCCGGCCAAATTCCTAGAGGAAAGAGAGAATCCGGATTACCTATGTAACAAAATTGATTCATCTTGTAGCAATTTTCCTTCTAATTTCACACTTACGTTATTAAAAGTCTTATTAAAAAGCGTCCGCCATTTTTGCTTTTACATTTGTCATTTTACCAACTCACAGTTGTTTTTTTCGCTTGAAATGGTGTTTAATACAGAAATATCTCGCTCTACTTTCGATATCTTTGTCTTAATTGGAAGTAGATACGGCATAAAATCCATGATTGAAAAATTCCGAATGGGACGAATTATTATCAGACAATCAGTCCAGTGGTTGTGCAAATTATTTGCCCAATAAAATCGGCAATAAACTACAGACAGACATACGGAAACGCGGGACCTAACCTAATTAAGTGAATTTAGTACGCTCTAAAAAAATCCAGGTCAACCAAAACTCTAAAAACTCTACACCGTCGACCACGTTCGCGGCCCACGAAAACAACCAAAAAAAAACCCATCTTAACACCTCTCCAGGACTAACAACAACAATAAAAATCACCAATCTTCCAATTCGTAAACTTCACATTCCTCAATGAATCACGTCCCATTTCCCAAACCAGTTCTTCGTCGCGCAATTCGGCCCGATTACCCCTAGGCCGTATACAGGGTGTGTCTGTTTTGAGCGTCCACGTGACACTACGCCACTTGTTCCGTCGTACGCTCCTGACCCAAACACTATTTACACGTTATATTACATTATGCGTCATTATCTATATTTACTTCCACTTGCATGTGACAGTAGAGGGGGCCCTACCTGTACGAAATAAGTGACTTAACAAAACTCGTCTCTATCACTGTCTAGCACGCGCCGTCCCGTTACTCCCTCTCTCTCCTATCGATCACTTAACACAGGTGTGTGGAACGGTGCGTATTTAAAGCGGTTTTTTCTGTAATGTAGTGGCGTCGGGGCTATTGCGCGACGCGTGTCGAAAAATACTAGTAGTACTAGCACCAACACCCGTAGTACTATCATGCCCCGCCGAACCTAGACCCGAAAGAATGCCGTGCGTCAATCCTCTCCTAAACAACAACAACAATATTCCCAAGGTGTTTTGTTTATTTTCCGCTTAAACGAACCCAAGGTTACTCAATTCTTGCACTTCCAGGAACAGATCAGGAAGCGCAAGGAGGAGGAGGACCGGATCGCCGCCCAAACCGAGTTCTTGAACCGGTCGCTGCGCGGCTCCAGGAAGCTGCAGGCGCTCGAGAGCCGGCCCCAGGGCAGCGTGAACGACGCCTTCGACGATGAGAACCAGGAGTCCTCCAGGTCGACGACGCCGGCCCCCGCCGCCGAGAAGGAGGTGGTGCACACGGTTTACGGTGAGTTGGGAAGCACAAAACGCCCGCTGACGCATGTTTCCGCCGGATGCGCCGCCAGGAGACTTCGACGAGCTAGGAAAAGTCGACTTTCGATGTGTTTTGTGAATTTTAATCGAGTCGCGATTTCTTTCGCGATGGGTTAATTGGCGGCGTGCGGTTGGAGTGGAATAATGAGTGGGAATTACGATGAGTGGAATTCAATGAGGAATGTATGGGTTTTGCGCGGCATGGGTGCGAAATGAAGAGGAATCGTGTGGAAAGAAACATGGTTGTGGTGGATTTTGGGTTTATCGAGGATGTTAACCTACATGCATGTTAAATGTGCGGAAGTGAGGTTTTGGACAAAGCGAAGGAGGGTAGGGACGGGGGGGCTAGCGAAATTGAGTAATGCGCTCGGACTGTAATTAACCTTCACATAAACCTGCACAGTTGGAATTGAAACACGTGACGTAACGTCTAACATTTAGAGAAATCTCGGCTCTGAGTGGTTAGCTCGATAGCAGTTTTCTCACTTTAGAGTCCCCTAGATGTGAATCATTTATTAACACCCTGTACACGTAAAATGATATAGATCCCGAGGGGTTGGTCACTGTGGAATTAGGTTGTACAATCGCACGCAAATGTTTTGAGCCTATGGGCGGATCGTTTTTGCCTGCCCTCACCGAAGAAGGTGGTCCAAATCCTTCAAGCGCAGAATTTGTAGGTAGGCTCAAACTACAACGAAATTTACATTTGGTAAGAAATATTTATGGCTCACACCAGTTCTCTCGAATTTGTCGGAGAAGATTTAGCAGGTAGTTGTTCCCATAAAATAATGAATAATCGAATAATTTGAAATCTTGCAGATGTTTTAAAGTCATGATAAACATGATTTAATTAAAATATATTTGCTTATCCCCTCTAAAAAATTTATGACGTCACCTCAAAATTTTGCAGAATAAATCCTATCTTAAATGTATAAAATATGATGAGTTTTTATACTTGTGATTTATCACTGCATTAATATTTTTTAGATTTGATTATACAGGGTATCTCAAAAAAGTTAATGACTGAGTCAATTTATTTTATTGAAGAAATCAAGAATAGCAAAACTGAATACTTTGAAATTTTGTAGATGTTTTGAAGTTTTTGTAAGCATGGTAACTTTTTCGAAAATTTGATTAATCAAATATGCGCAAAATCAAAAATCGGAAAAACTGAAATTCACTAATGCAAAAAACAGAAAATCGAAAAATACAAATCGTAAAAATCGAAAATCTAAAAATGGCTAATCAAAAAATCGAAAATTCAATGAATCAAATACCTAGGTCGATCGAAAAGTGGAAATTCACAAACCTCAAAAATCGAAAAATCGAAAATTGAAAAACAGGAAAACCAAAAAATCGAAAAGTCAAAAATTTGTAGTATTGAAAATTAAAAAAATTGCAAAGCCTAAAAACTGAAACGAACAGAAAATCTAAAAAGCAAAAAATTGGAAAAACAAAAATTTGAAAAATCTAGAATCGAAAAAGTGGAAAATCGAAAATCTGAATAAAGAAACTTGGAAATTCTGAAAATTGGAAAATCGAAAACCAAAAAATCGGGAAGTAACAAAATTGAAGTCTAACAGTTGAGAATAGAAAAACTGAAAAACCGAAAATTCTAAAAATCGACAATGGACAAATTGAAAATCGCAAAATTTAAATTGAACAATTGAACATAGAAAAATCGATGAATTGAAAAATCGAAAATTCGACTACTCAAATTTTCTAAAAATCGAAAAATCATAAAACTGAAAAATCCAAAATTCGAATGATCGAAAGTCTGAAAACTGAAAATCGAAAATTCTGAAAAGCGAAAAATAGAATATCGAAAAATTTAAAAGAAAGAAAATTGAAGTCTAAAAACCCAAGAATGGAAAAATTAAAAATCAAAAATTCGAAAAATCAAAACCGAAAAATCAAAAATCTGAAAATTGAAACTCGAAAATTTGGAAAATCAAAAAGTAAAAAAATTGAAGTCTAAAAGCTGAAAAATTGAAAAATCAAAAAACCGAAAAATGGAAAAATCAAAAATCGAAAAACAGGAAAACCGAAAATTCGAAAATTCATAATATTGAAAACTCTAAAAGTCGACAATTCAAAAATCAAAAAATTGGAAAGTAAAATAATCGAAAAATCGAAAAGTAAACAAATTGCAAAGCCTAAAAACTGACGAACAGAAAAATCGAAAAATCGTAAAATCAAAAAGTGGAAAATCGAAAACTGGAAATTTAAAAATCGAAGATTGGAAAATCGAAAAATCGAAAATCGGAATATCGAGAATCGAAAAATAAAAAAAAACCGAAAAGTATCTAAAAATGGAAAATCGAAAAAACGAAAAGTAAAAAAATTGCAAGGCCTAAAAATTGAAAAATCAAAAAATCGGAAAAATGAAAATCGAAAAAACGACGATCGAAAAAAAAAAAAAAATCGAAAAGTGGAAAATCGGAAAGTAACAAAATTGAAATCTAAAAGCTGAAGAAGGGAAAATTCTAAAAAGCAACAATCGAAAAAAGCAAAATTAAAAATTGAAAATTTGAAAAATGGAAAATCGAAATCTCGAATATCGAGATTTTGAAAAATCGTAAAAATGATAATCGAAAAATCGAAATGCTCAAAAATCGAAAATTCAATTAATCAATATTCTAAAAATCGAAAAAACGGACACAAATCCACAAATCTGAGAAATCGAAAATCAAAATACGAAAAATTAAAAAACCGAAAAATTGAAAAATCCCAAATCGAAAAATGGAAAAACCGAAAATTCAAAAATCAAACTATCGGAAAGTAAAATAATCGAAAAATGGAAAAATAAAACAAATCGCATATCTATAAAAACTGAAACAAACAGAAAAATCAAAAACCACAAAAGCGGAAAAACGAAAATGGAAAATCGAATAATCGAAAGTTGAAAAATCGATGGTCGAGAAATAAAACAACCGAAAAATCGAAAAATTTAATGATTAATGGAAGATCGGAAAATCGAGAACAGAAGAATTCAAAAATCAAAAAAATCGGAAAGTAAAATATAATCGAAAAATGCAAAAAAATTGCAAAATCTAAAAACTGACGAACAGAAAAATCCAGAAATCCAAAAATGGAAAGACGAAAAATCGAAAATTGAAAGAATGGCAAATCAAAAAATCGAAACATCGAAAAATCAAAAAAACGAAAACTTAAAAAATCGAAAAACGAAAAAACTAAAAACTCGAAAATTCAAAATACCGCAAATTTGAAAAATCAGAAAATTGGAAAGTAATAAAATCGAAAATTTGATAGAAAAATTGAAACTGAAAAATCTAATTCGATGAAAAGGTTGGTCGAAAAAACGAAAAATCAAAAATCGAAGTGATCTTTTTTTGAGACAGGCTGTATAAGTAAATCTAAAAAATATTACTCCAATAAATGATAAATCACAGGTATAGACTCATCATATCAAATTTTGCGATGACGTCATGCATTTTTTGGCGAAGATAAGCAAATACATTTTGATCGTGGCTTTGAAAGTGTTCTTCGACTTTCGTTCCATTTCAAAATTTACTCTTTGTATATTTCAGTGGTCACAACGAGTTCACTAACTACGCTGAAGTATGCGAAGATTAAATTTGTCACCGAAAAGATGTCGGTCGAAGAACGTTCGGTCCGGTGTTACACCTCGACTCAAGAGAGACCGCAGTAAAGGATAACAAATGGAACGGATAAAGTAAAGCGTCAAACATGATTGATAAACTTTAAACCAAAATTATGAAGTTTATAAACTGAACATTTTTTTTGTTTTTTTGAAATGTAGTACACTTCAAAAAATGTCCGTGACTTATTTTAATATGAATTTTATAACTATGGTTGGCACAATTAGACCTAATATTAGTGTGATTTTGAGCATATTCTCGATTTTATTAGAGCAGAACAGGTTTTTTTTTCTAATTTTATAACTTACGGAAACTAATAGCACATCACAGATATTGCAAAAAAAAATGGGCTCAGGTTCCAACTAATTGACAAGATTTCAAAGTATTCAGTTTTGCAATTCTTGATTTCTTCAATAAAATAAATTGACTCAGTCATTATTTTTTTTGAGTCACCCTGTATGTATAAACAAATCCAAAAAATATAAATGGAATGGTAAATCACAAGTATAGACTCACCATATTCTGAACATTTTAGATAGGGTATTTATAAAATTAAAACTAATTCAGAGTAAGAATTTGGTCAACACGTAAATTTCGTTGTAGTTTGAGCCTACCTACAAATTCTGCCCTTGGGCGATTTGGACCGCCTACTTCGGTGACGATCGGCAAAAATGATCCGCCCATAGGCTCAAAACATTTGCGTGCGATTGTACACTATCACTGGAATTAGGGAATTGAAATGTGGAATTAAGTGGAATTGATGGAATTATGGTGGAATTATTGGGAATTGGAATTCAACAAAAATTTAAAACCGAAAATCATTACGCATGCGCAATGGACCACGTGAACCTTGCGATGTCATTGCGCATGTGCAGTTGCAGTACTACGTTTCATCAACTGCACAAAATTTCACAAAAATCTACTAGTTCATGGTAGGTCGTAAAACCGAGGCTTGACTTCTTTGGTCTGGCTGCTAACAAAAGAAAGCAAATGAGTTGGCACGAACCGAGTATATAAATTTAAAAATAATTAATATTATATTTTTCGAGATATTTTGTTTGTTTTCTTTCTTTTTTTTTTTTTAATTTTATTACAGAAGTGTATTTATTTTTGTACTTGTTCAATATATACTTATTTTATAAATTACAATTTCGCTTCTATAGTCTATACTAAAATATTTCAATTTCTGCAGAAAAAATATTGAGAAAATTATAAATACAAATTCAATTTCTTATTTTAAAAACGAGGTTGAACGAATGAGACGGAAACAGTGGAATTGAAGGCATTTTTTTTTTGGAATTCGTGGAATGTTTTGTGATTAGGGTGGAATTTATGGAATTTTTGGCATTAGACTGGAATTATCGATGGAATTATTGGCATTACAGTAGAATTGGTGGAATTTTTTCAAAATGGAATTGCTAATGCCGGAATTGGAATTAGGTTGTACGTTATTTTGGCCTAGTGACCAACCCCTCGATAGATCCATACTATTGTAAATATATATATTAATCAAATTTACTCACAAATAACTCTAGTAATTAATTTATCAATAGATGGTAACATTTATAGACCGTTTATCCAACAGATGGAGTGTTCACGTGCCTCAAAGTAAACGTCCAAGCTTCTATCAAAATTGAACGTATAATAGAAATTTCGGCGGGATGTTTGAAAATATGTTCGCTTTGTTTTTCCATTCCACAACAAAGTAAGAGTCTTTAAAAAAACCGATCTAGAGAAAATGTGGAACAAACGATTAAAACAAAACCCGCGTAAAACGAGAGAAAACTGAAAACAAGCACGACGACATGTAGGCACAAGTAAAAGTGAAAGCCCAGTTGACCTAAGCGCAGAGGATCGATATAATTTGTTGAGCTGTGTAAAACGGTCGTGTCCATTCAGTTGCCGACATCCCTCGACCAGTTTTAAATATCACCATTTTAAAACATCCCGTCAAGATTGCGGGCTTTTTCAACTCCATCTGTTCGGTAAACGTAGTATATACATTTTTGTGTGCCCATTCTTTCTGATCTTCGCTCTACCCTTTTCGTTTGCAGGCTACGGCGACCTGGTGGCGTCCGTCCAGCGCCTGCAGATGCAGCTCAAGAAGGCCGGCGCCGGGGGCGGGCTCGGCGGCCTCGAGGGCCGCGTGGCCGCCGTCCAGTCCCTGCTGCTGTCGCCGCAATTCGGGCGCGCCCTGGCCGTGCACAACAAGGTCCAGGCCGTGCGCTCGCGGACCACCCCCCGGCCGCCGCCCACCGCCCAGACCGCCCTCAGAGACTGCCTAGATGCCTTAGGGAACTCGCAGAGCTCCTACGCCGTGGAATTGGCCAGCTTACTCACAGGGTATGAGCTGGAGGCGCTCATGGTGGCCCACGACGGCGTGGCCTCCACGCTGCCGCCCGACTCCACGTCGCCCGGACCGCCCCCGGCCGAGCCGCCGCCGCCCGTCCCCGACCACCGCTTCCACGAGGAGAACATCAAGATCATCAAGATCGAGAAGAGCACGGAGCCGCTGGGGGCGACGGTGCGCAACGAGGGGGACGCGGTGGTGATCGGGCGCGTGGTGCGGGGCGGCGCGGCGGACAAGAGCGGCCTCCTCCACGAAGGCGACGAGATCCTGGAGGTGAACGGCATCGAGATGCGCGGGAAGAGCGTCAACGCCGTCTGCGATATCCTCCAGGGGATGGAGGGCACGCTCACGTTCTTGATCGTGCCGGCGTCGCAGGCGAGGGCGCACTCGGGGAGGGACTCGGTGCTGCACGTGCGGGCGCACTTCGACTACGACCCGGAGGAGGACATGTACATACCGTGTCGGGAGCTGGGGATCAGCTTCCAGAAAGGTACGCCAACGACTCTTGAGTGATTCGGGGTCAGGTGATGTGGTTTCTAGGTGACGTGCTGCACGTGATCAGCCAAGACGACCCCAACTGGTGGCAGGCGTATCGGGAGGGCGAAGAGGACCAGACGCTGGCCGGGCTGGTGCCTTCGCAGAGCTTCCAGCATTACAGGGAGAGCATGAGACTGGCGGCCGAGGAGCGAATGGCCAGACCGCAGCGGAAGTCGTCGACGCTGCTCTGCGGCAAGACGGCCAAGCGGAAGAAGAAGAAGGGGGCGTACAGCGAAGGCGGCTACCCGATCTACGCGAACTCGGTGGACGAGCACGACCCGGAGGAGATCCTCACGTACGAGGAAGTTTCGTTGTACTACCCCCGGGCGAACAACAAGAGGCCGATCGTGTTAATCGGGCCGCCGAACATCGGCAGGCACGAGCTGAGGCAGAGGCTGATGGAGGATTCGGAGAGGTTCGCCGCTGCAATTCCGCGTAAGAGGCGACGGTTCTCGAGGAGATCCAGTTTTGGAACGTGTTGTTGTAGATACGTCGAGGGCGCGGAAGGATAACGAGGTGGACGGGCAGGATTACCATTTTATTACCAGGGCTCAGTTCGAGGCTGATATTTTGTCGCGGAAGTTCGTGGAGCACGGGGAGTACGAGAAGGCGTACTATGGGACGTCGCTGGACGCGATACGCTCAGTGGTCAACTCGGGGAAGATATGTGTTTTGAATTTGCATCCTCAGAGTCTGAAAATTCTAAGGACGTCGGATTTGAAGCCCTACGTGGTGTTCGTGGCGCCGCCTAGTCTGGAGAAGCTGAGGCAGAAGAAGATACGGAACGGGGAGGCGTATAAAGTGAGTATAGTACCTGGTGGTGAAACATAAATGACAAGCAAAGCCAAATTTTCAAAAATCGGAGTTATTTAGGGCTAGAGATGCAAAATTATAGGTTATGTCAACTGATCTCTTTAGTTTTTATTCAGCGAGTATTTCTACATAAATGAGATAATATAGAAGAAAGATTTATTCTATAGCGAGTATAAAAGTAGTTGATAAATGTGTACACCTACCTTTACTAAAGGATATGAAGGATTGGTTGCGTGGAATGGGAATAAAATCTGGGATCTTAAACACCATACATATTCTAGCTGCTAGTCTGCATATGGTCTATTTGGGAAGATCAGGAAGAGTTCTTGTCTTGCTACACAATAATTCACAATTGGCTCACACAAATAAAACAAAAAATTCGTTTGCACTTCTTCGCGGTAAACTTACAATGACGTTTTGACAATATTTAAATTGACGTTTGAGCGCCTTAGTCATTTGTTTAAAAATTGTCAATGCTGCCAATCCTAATAGTATTTTTTTTTTTAATATCTAGGGGAATTTCTTATTATATTTGTTTTAATATGTGTCGACACAACATGAAACTTAAATTATGTTTAAAATGGAAAATTTGTATAAGGAAATATATACTTCTTTGCAAAAATGTACCATAACTATGTTTCAAACTTTTTGTTGTGAAAACATGGCCAGAGAACATAGAGAAGTGACATAGAGGCTGATTTTGCAAAACCACCCTTATTGACTATTGACATTGGAGTCCTCAACCGCCAAAGGCAAGCGCCAAATTTAAATAGTCGATGCCAATAAAAACCTTGCTTCACTATAATTGTAATTCGTGTGACCTGAATGAAAGTGAAGGAAACAGTAAGCAGCTTGTAATACTCTGGTAAATCTAGTGTCAATTTGTCGAAAATAAAACGCGTCGTTAAAAATATTATGACATTTCTTCTAGTTACTTTTATTCCTAGTTAGAAATAAACACTGCTACCAACATAAATTGAGAAGTCCTCAACCGTCATTTGATTTAAACTATGGCGCTTCTCTATGTTCTCTGACATGGCTATGTATATTAAGAAGAAAAGGGCAAAATATAAGCCCCGCCCACCCGCCCTGTCTCAATTCTGACGATTTTTTTTATTCGTGTTAAGCAGAGGGGCGGATCCTAATTGCAAAATCCACATTGCCTTACAAAAATTTACTATCTTAAATGTGTTTTGAGTTTCTAAGAATAAAAAAATCATCACAATCGAGATGGGGTGGGTGGGCGGGGTTTATATTTTGCCCATTTTTCTTAATATACATAGTATTCTTTGAACAACACGATACTCAAAAACATGTTTGTAGTTTCTTGTAAAGAAACAAGTATTTTGCAGTTAAGCTCCGCCCCTTTGGTTCACGGCCAATAAAAAAATCATTACAATTGAGATAGGGTGAGTGGGCGGGCTTACTTTTTGCTTTTTTCTTTTAATATGTGTAGACTCATTTTCACAACATGAAACTTAAATTATGTTTAAAATGGAAAATTTATATAAGGAAATATACAGGGTGTTTTTTTTATTTGATACAACCCCTGTAACTTTTTTATTCTTAAAGATAAACCTGTAGTTCTTTAAGCAAATGTATTATTTTAAAAGATCTATGTGATGGCAATCTCACATTTATTTTATCACTTCCGGTAGAACCGGAAATGACATCAACTTTATTTATTTTTATGGAACACTAGATATATTTTTTCATAAATGGAAATACTGCTTTCTTGTAAAAATCAAAGGCAACCAATATTTCTAAAATCAATACTTAAAAAGTTATTAAATAAAATACACGAAAAATTCATCTTAATTGATGACAATCTAGTAACTTGAAAAATTGACACTTATGTCATTCATAGGTGATCTTTTAAAATGATACAAATTTGGTCAAAGAACTATATGTTTATTTTTTAAAATAAAAAAATTACGGGGGTTGTACCAAATAAAAGAAACACGTGGTATACTTCTTTGCAAAAATTTACCATTTTAACTATGTTTCAAATTTCTTGTTGTGAAAAGATGGCTATGTATATTAAAAAGAAAAAGGCAAAATGTAAGCCCGCCTACCCGCCCTGTCTCAATTCTGATGATTTTTTTTATTCCTGTTAAGCAGAGGGGCATGTCCTAATTGCAAAATCCACATTGTCTTACAAAAATTTACTATTTTAAACGTGTTTTGAGTTTCTAAGAATAAAAAAATCATCAGAATTGAGTTGGGGTGGGTGGGCGGGGTTCTATATTTTATCCATTTTTCTGAATATACATAGTATTCTTTCAACAATACCATACCCAAAAACATATTTTTAATTTCTTGCAAAGAAACAAGTATTTTGCAGTTAAGCTCCGCCCCTTTGGTTCACAGCCAATAAAAAAATCATCAGAATTGAGATAGGGCGGGCGGGCGGGCTTACATTTTGCCTTTTTGTTTTAACATGTGTAGACTTCTTTTCACAACATGAAACTTAAATTATGTTTAAAATGGAAAATTTGTGTAAGGAAATATATACATCTTTGCAAAAATATACCATTTCAACTATGTTTCAAATTTCTTGTTGTGAAAAGATGGCCATGTATATTAAGAAGAAAAAGGCAAAAATATAAGCCCGCCCACCCGCCCTGTCTCAATTCTGATGATTTTTTTTATTCGTGTTCAGCAGAGGGGCGGATCCTAATTGCAAAATCCACATTGTCTTACAAAAATTTACTATTTTAAACGTGTTTTGAGTTTCTAAGAATAAAAAAAATCATCACAATCGAGTTGGGCTGGGTGGGCGGGGTTTATATTTTGCCCATTTTTCTTAATGTACATAGTATTCTTTCAACAACACGATACTCAGAAACATGTTTGTAGTTTCTTGTAAAGAAACAAGTATTTTGCAGCTAAGCTCCGCCCCTTTAGTTCACGGCGAATAAAAAAAATCATTACAATTGAGATAGGGCGGGTGGGCGGGCTTACTTGTTGTCTTTTTGTTTTAATATATGTAGACTTGTTTTCACAACACGAAACTTAAATCATGTTTAAAATGGAAAATTTGTATGAGGAAATATCGATTTTGCAAAAATGTACCATTTTAACTACGTTTCAAATTTTTTGTTGTGAAAAGATGGCTATGTATATTAAGAATAAAGAGGCAAAAATATAAGCCCGCCCACCCGCCCTATCGCAATTCTGATGATTTTTTTTTATTCGTGTTAAGCAGAAGGGCAGAATCCAACTGCAAAATCCACATTGCCTTACAAAAATTTACTATTTTAAACGTGTTTTGAGTTTCTAAGAATAAAAAAAGTCATCACAATCGAAATGGGGTGGGTGGGCGGGGTTTATATTTTGCATATTTTTCTTAATATACATTGTATTCTTTCAACAACATGATACTCGAAAACATGTTTGTAATTTCTTGTGAAAAAACAAGTATTTTGCAGTTAAGCTCCGCCCCTTTGGTTCACGGCCAATAAAAAAAATCATCACAATCGAGACAGGGTGGGTGGGCGGGCTGACATTTTGCCTTTTTGTTTTAATATGTGTAGACCTCTTTTCACAACATGAAACTTAAATTATGTTTAAAATGGAAAATTTGTATAAGGAAATATATACTTCTTTGCAAAAATGTACAATTTTAACTATGTTTCAAATTTCTTGTTGTGGAAAGATGGCTGTGTGTATTAAAAAGAAAAAGGCAAAAATATAAGCCCGCCCACCCGCCCTGTCTCAATTCTGATGATTTTTTTTTATTCGTGTTAAGCAGGGGGGCGGATCCTAATTGCAAAATCCACATTATCTGACAAAAATTTACTATTTTAAACGTGCTTTGAATTTCAAAGATTAAAAAAAACATCACACTCGAGATGGGGTGGGTGGGCGGGGTCTATATATTGCCCATTTTTCTTAATATACATAGTATTCTTTCAACAACACGATACTCAAAAACATGTTTGTAGTTTCTTGTAAAGAAACAAGTATTTTGCAGTTAAGCTCCGCCCCTTTGGTTCACGGCCAATAAAAAAATCATTACAATTGAGATAGGGCGGGTGGGCGGGCTTACTTTTTGCCTTTTTCTTTTAATTTGTGTAGACTCATTTTCATAACATGAAACTTAAATCATGTTTAAAATGTATCATTTTAACCATGTTTTAAGTTTCTTGTATACAGGGTCGCTAGAATGTAAAGAAACGGTTAAATAAGTTGAGAACCAATTGTACAAATTATCTGAAATTAGGTGTAGGGGTACAAGAAGCTGTGCTCTAATTATTCGTGGGAAAATTTTTTTTTTTGTTTCATTTGTTTTCGAGATGCAAGGCAAACTTAATTTTCATTGATTTTCCTCATAGATTTTCTCGGATTTTTCCGGATTCTTTCGAATTTTCTCCTATTCCTTTAGATTTATTCATTTTTTTCAGATTCCTCTAGATGGAATGTTTATGTTCTGTTGGACAATAAATCTATTTATTATTCCATCGAATTTTTCAGGAGTCTTTCTGATTTTTCCGAATTCTCTCGACTTCTTTCCACTGTTTTAAACTTTCTCGTATTCTTTCGTGTTTTTTAATATATTTTCGGATTCTATAGGAGTTTGTCTTAGACTATTTATTAGTCTCTTAAGTTTATCTGTATTCTTTCGGTTTCCTTCCACGTCTCTAGGATTCTTTCGGATTTTCTGAATTTTCTCTCTAATTTTCCTTGATTCTCTTGGATTTATTTCGGATTCTTTCGGGAATTTTAAAATATATATTTTTTTAATTTAATAGACTATTTTTGGACGAACTAGATATTTTAAATCGGTCTTTTTTTAGAAATTGAACCTCCTTTAGATTCTCTCGAATTATCTCCGATTCGGTGGTATTTTTTGTATCCTCCCGTATTCTCCCGGTTTTATTACGATTCTCTCGGATTTTTTCAAATTCTGTCAGATTCCTAGGAATTCCTGGGATTCTTCCGGATTCTTTCGGAAATTTTACAATATATATTTTTTTAATTTAATA